GTGTGCCTTCGTGAGCCTGCGTGCCACAGCACACAAGATCAGGGAACTTCTGTGAGTAGGATCTTCCCACCGTGTGGGACCAAAGCTGGTGGCAAACGCAATCACCAACTGAGCCATCCCGCCGGCGCCCCCCACCCTATCTCTCAGTAGTCACAGATAACCTAAACTGGGTTTGACCTCGCAGCAATCATGCTTCAGCCTACCAAGTGCTGGCGTGACGCTTGGGGCTCTCTCTCCCAGTGACTGTGGACCTTCTCCTTCTGTTCTGGTCTAACCCCACCAAGTTTCCATTTCTTTTTTTCATTTCCGACCGAATACCCGGTTTTGCTTCCGACTAACTTGATCCTCCTTGTCCGTTTGCATCGCTGTGGCAGCGCCATCCGACTGGATGACGCCCGGGTCCACACCTGACACCCTTCCCAACTTTCCCGCTGCTGCGGTCTGGTCTGGGAGCTCGCGGTTCCGTCCGCGTGCGCCCCCTGCCGGCCGCGCCCCGACACTGCCGCTTCACTCTATTTAGAGCGCCCGGGCCCGGGCGGCGGGGTGTGCGAGCCGCGGGGCGGCGAGCCCAGCTCGGGCCCGGTGCGGCGCGAGCTCAAGCAGTTCCTCGGTTGGCTCAAGAAGCACGCGTACTGTTCGAACCTCAGCTTCCGCCTGTACGACCAGTGGCGTGCTTGGATGCAAAAGTCACACAAGACTCGAAACCAGGTAGGAAGTGGGGAAGGCTCGCGTGGGGGTGCGGGAGTTGAGGAGTGTGCAGCCTCCATGACACTGTGCTCTTCTTTCGAAGCACAGGACGAGGGGATCCTGCCCTCGGGCAGACGGGGCGCGGCGAGAGGTAAGGAGGTCCTTGTGGATAGGCAGTCTAGAAGAGGCCTTCCCGCCCTCGGGCTGCTCAAATGGGAGTTTTCTTCTCACTCACTTAGCACGTGTGAGCACCTACTGCGTGCTAGCGTCTGGCCAAGCGCTTCACTGCATGAACGCCAAGGTGCAGAGTGATCCAGACTTAGTGTGGATTCTTTTTACTCTCAGGTCCTGCCGGATAAACTCTAAGGACAGGCCATTCTTCTGCCACATGCAGACCGGGAGGCTCGCCTCAACGAGGGCCTCAGTACTGTCACTTTGGGGGAACCGGAGAAACACCACCAGGGGCTGGGGTAGGCGCAGTGAACTCCCACAGTCACAGATTTGGTCTGCATGATGGTCAACCTTGGGTGTACCCCATGTGGGTAGGGTTGGAGTAAGAATTTTGGTTACCCAGGGTTCTCCAAGAGTCTCTTTAAATAAACCAGGTCCTCTGATGGTGTGTTTGAGGCTTGTGTTTTCTAGGGGATTGGGACATCCTCTACTGCCAAACCAGTGCTGTTTTCCAGGACACAGAATACCTGTCCTAAATTCCTTGGGGGTATGCAAGCCTTCCACCTGCTCTCCCTGTTCCCCTGGGGAACACGCCCCAAATCGCTGGGCCCCACACCCCACATACAGAGCTGATGGGAAAACTGCAGAGGGAGAGGTTCTTTTATTTTGTGAGGCGCATTAGAGGGCAGCCCGCCGGGGCTCGACCCCAGCCAGCTGGCGGTCAGGGCTGCGCTAGACGCCATGGGCCTCTTTTCCCATCTTCCTCTGGTCCCTTGGGAGCCGCCCTCACTCTGCAGACTCGGCATCAAACCTGAGTTCCTGCAGAACCTCGCTGATCGCCTCCATGGTTTTAATTACCCTACAAGAGCGGATGGAAACTATAAATAAAACCCAGATGGGGTGAATTAGCCAAGCCGCACAGCTAGCGGGGAGGGGGACTATGGCAAGCCCCGAGCCCTCCTGCCTGCCGCCAAACCTCAAACCCGGCCTGGGAGCATGCCTGGGAGGCGGATTGGCTTGGTGGGTTACAGTGGGCTCATGGGAAAGGCCGATGGGGGGGCGCTTGTCACCAGGAGATTGGGATGTGTGTGCATGCCTGCCTGTGCTTGTAGACCTGGGATAGAACTGCAGGGGCTCACACAGGGGAGCAAGCGTGACTGAGACCATGTTCAAACTCCTGAAAGCAGCAGAAACTTCAGACGAATGCGTCTAGGACACCATCAGAGTGCCCTCTGCGATTGGGTGGGTCAGCACTGGGGTGACCACGCCGTGTGGTGCTACTGTAGGGGTTAGGATAAGAGGCCCACAAGGCTCCACTGGGGTGACCACGGCTGTGTGGTGCTAATTTAAGGGTTGGGATAAGAGGCCCACAAGGCTCACTTTATTCTCAGCTGGCGCAACTTTTCAGGGTCCCCCTGTTCTGACACTCCTGGTGTCCCCATCACCTGCAGCAGCGCCACCTGGAGAAGAAAATGGGAGTCACAAGACAAAAGCCACATTGATCATGACAGAAGGCAGAAGAGTGGAGCCTGGGACAGTGGAGCTTGAGCATGTGGGGACTCTGGGTTGCTTTTAGGGCTCTCCTGTGGAAGGGCAGTACAAAATATTGACATATCTTGGGAAAGCCAGGGATGGATGGCAGGTATGGTAGGTGGGACTCAAGGCAGGGTTTGGGGTTCTGTACTATGAATCCCAGACCAAAGAGCAATGTGAGTGTGATCCCCTCCCCCACTAGGATTGGCTTTAAAGTCATGGTAGGTGTAGCCTTGGGATCTGGTCAAGGAGCTAAGGAAGTTGTGTGTCTGAGTGTATTTGTGGAGGATGTAGCTTGTGGGTCCAAACAGTGATAACTCAGAGGTGGAGAGAAACTGACACAGAGGGCAGGACATTGGAGCCACTGGGTTCTCGAGAGAGCTTTCCAGATGACCTGGAATTTTTTTTAAAACTTATTATGTATAGAATGTTCTGCCTGCATGAATCCCTGCAGGCCAGAAGAGGACACCAGATCTCATTACAGATGGTTGTGAGCCACCATGTGGATACTGGGAATTGAACTCACGAAGAGAGTCATCTCTCCAGCCAAAAGGGACAGGAATAATTAAGGAGAGGGACCAAATTCTCTGAGGAGTGTAGCATGTGTAGAGGTAGTGGTTGTGGTGGCCCATTCCCGGCCCCGAAGGAGAGAGAGGTTACCCAGACGGTAAGAGGTGGTCTTACCGTGGCCAGGCGCGTCTGTTCCAGCTCCTGCAGGTTGCGCACGTGGCGAGCAAGCACTGGCTGCGCACGAGGTCCCGCTAGTTCCGCTTCCACCGCAAGTACTTCCCGCGAGGCGGCGGCAAAGACCTGGGTCACCTCGTGCACGACATTCCGATAAAGCGGGAAGTCGTGGTGCTGGCCGCTGAGCATGTACTGGCGGTGAGCTCTGCGGCGGGCGGGGAAGATGCTGAACCCACGCCCCTGACTAACAGAACACTCTTCTTGTCCCAGCCACCTGGAAGATCCACCCAACTCGAAGAAGAAAACCTGAACCCCACAGACTGGAGAGAGCCGAGAGCTGGCTCATTTCTGCACTCCAGAAGAGAGGGGCTCTGGCTGCGGGTCACGCCCCCCAGGGCCACACCCCGCTTCTCCCAGGCCACGCCCACAGCCACGGTCCTTGCTTGTCCCGGCCACAACCCCAGCCCTCCTGGTCTGAGATTTCAGAGCCACCCACCGACGGCTCTGCCCCGCGCCCGGCCTAGATCGCGCGCCTCTGAGTACTTCCGAACCAGACCCCCGCCGCCTCCCCACGTCCTACAACCAACTTGGTTCCGGCCCTGAGTCCCACTCTGGCGAACTCCCTCAGGCCCCGCCCCTCCTCCAGCCTGCCAGCTCACTGGTCTAGGCGGCGGAAGGCTTGCGCGCGTTCATCCTGCAGCTGCTGGATCCTCCATACCAACGCAGCGATCGGGGAGTCTCTCTACAAAGGCGTGGGGCTATGAAGACGGATCTCCGAGCCCATCTCGAAGCCCCCCCGACCGTCCTGCCCACGCCTGGGCTTACCCAGGCCCACTGCAGCTCCGCAGATCCGGGGGCGTCAGCAGCAGGAGGCAACTCCGCGGCGGCGGTGAGCATGACTGTGCAATCCGGCTGCTCTTGGGAATGGCTGCAGCGCCCCTGCCGACCGGGAGGCCCAGGACCGTTGCGCGCGCACCTGACTGCCAACTGCCTCACGCACTAGTTCCAGATCTCTGTGCACCCGCCAACCCTCGCCATACGCCTAGGTCAAACAAGGTCACTGGAGTTCTGCACGGTGACAGTAGCTTTTGCACGACTGGACCGAAAGCCAGCACTCACACATCTGAAACCGAAGTTCAGTGTCTGTTTCTGATCTCATGGGGTACCAGGCATACAACACAACACACACAAAAAATCCAGATAAACCTTTAGAACACAGCTGGTCCTACTGTGTGCAAACTGTGTCTGTGCAAAGACCCTGCATGGGGCAGAGGCCTTCACAAAAAAGCATCAGTGATGGTTGATGCATATATGGGGGACTGCAGGCTGCTGGCACACCAGGCTCAAACCCATGGAACCCTTCAAATGCCATGATTAAAATAGCCAGTTTAACCAATGAAAGTGGAGACCGTAAGAAACCCCAGCAACACTGATGGTCTCCTAAAGACGGGCCAGCCAGCCTCAGGGCCGCACAACTAAGGCGTGCACTGCAACTGGAAAGGGCTGATGATCCCAGGTACGCCCTACAGAGGGAAGGCGATAGGTTCAGGACCTACAACTGGCATATGAACACTAGGTCGGGTGAGCCAACTTTCCACACATCCCAGCCGAGACTGTAGACACGAGGACAGAATGGGGCCCCAGGCATGGGCTCCACTTTGAAAGCCTCCTCAGCTGTGGTTTCCACACTAGCTGCAGAACCTCCATCCACAGTCCTGTGTGCACACCTGTCCAGTCCAGAAGCAGCACTCACGGCCACACCAGAGGCCAGCAGTTCAGGTGCGCACGTGTAAACCCACATGCTACCAGTTGTGTGTGGCATCCCCACATGCCTGTGACTGGCAGATTGCAGAGCAGCCTGGGCTACACCGATACCCTTCCCACCCCTCCCTGAACACAACAGTCACTTGGACACCAGTTACTGCTCCGGTCGATGGAAGGGGACTTTATTTGGTCCCAGGGTCATGGGCCAGTTAATGCCCCAGCTTTATTTGACCTTCTTCTTGGGGCGCAGGTTGTTGGTGTGGCCGCACTTCTTCTTGCGGCAGTTGACTGCACGGGGGTGCAGGCGTGCATAGCACTTGCGGCAGATCATCTTGTCACAGTTGTACTTCTGGGCAAGCTGACGAAGGGACGGCTCGATGATGCCACCACGCAGACGAAGCACCAGGTGCAAAGTGGACTCTGGTGAGAAGGACAGAAGCTGAGCCCTGCCCCTAGAGCTCAGGGAACTCTCTAAAGAGGTTTTCTGACATTGCTGCCATAGGCCAGCCTGCCCTTAATTAGTAAAGGACTGGGGCTGGATAGATGGCTCAGTGGTTAAGAGCTCTTGAGGACCTGAATTCAATTCCCAGTACCCATGTGACAGCTCACAACTGTCTTTAATTCCGCTTCCAGGGAACCGAACACCCATGGCAAAATACCAATGTGCATAAAATAAAAACGAATTAACAACAACAACAACAAAAAACCCTCAAGACTGAATCTAGCTTTACTACTTTCCCTCTGCCTCCGGAGTGCTGGGATTAAAGGCGTGCGCCACCACCGCTCGGCTCTACTACTTTTGTAATGTACAGAGGCCTCACTACACGGCAGGCAGCAGCACAGGCAACAAAGGAACAAAAGGAACAGCACGGTGAGGCAGATACCAGAGCCAGGTCCTCCTGCCAGCCAGAATCCTGCTGACACACCCTAATCCTAGACAGGCAGAGGCTTGGCAAAAAGGAGGGGGGAAAAAAAGGAGCTCCCAGCCTGGAGAGATGGCTGCTCTCACAGAGGACCGGAGTTCAGCTCACAACTGTCTATTATAATTCCTGTTCCAGGGAATCTGACACCCTCACATTGACACACAAGCAGGCAAAACACGGAAAATACATAAAATGCAAATTAACAAATTAAAAAAAAAAAAGCTGCCAGTTGCCATGTGGTGGTGGCACAAGCCTTAATCTCAGCACTCAGGAGACAGAGGCAAATCTCTGAGTTCAAGGCCAGGGCCACACTGTGAAAACCCTGTTTCAAACATACACACAAAGGGAAAAAGAGCTGATGACGGCACGTTTACACCAACACACAAATTAAGATTTGATCATTTAAAAAGTGCGGGGGGGGGGGGGCTGGAGAGATGGCTCAGTGGTTAAGAGCATTGCCTGCTCTTCCAAAGGTCCTGAGTTCAATTCCCGGCAACCACATGGTGGCTCACAACCATTTGTAAAATGAGGTCTGGTGCCCTCTTCTGGCCTGCAGACATACACACAGACAGAATATTGCATACATAATAAATAAATAAATATTTTTAAAAAAAGTGCAGGGGCCCTTTGCCTGCTCTTCCAAAGGTCCTGAGTTCAATTCCCAGCAACCACAAGGTGGCTCACAACCATCTATAATGAGATTTGGTGCCTTCTACTGGCCCGCAGGGACACATGCAGGTAGAAGACTATATGTAATAAAAAAAAGTCAACAGGGATGGGTGGCAGAGGCAGGTGCATCTGAGTTTGAGGCTGGCCTGGTCAACAGAGTGGGTTCCTGGACAGGCTACAGAGAAAGAAACCCTGCCTCAAACACTAAAATAAACAGGCACCATGGGTCACACCTGCAACGCCAGTTCTTGGGGCAACACTGTGGGACCAGCGAGGGCTAAAGTTGAGACTTAGCTTAAAGACAAAACAGGAAAAAAAAACAGTAAAAATAGAAGTAAAGGGCTGGCAAGAAAAGGCACACAAAACAGATGGGCCTGGTGACATGGGTTCAAGTCTGAAGCCCACACAGGTGGAATGGAACCGACTCCATCAAGCTGCTTTTTGACTTCCACAGCCAAGTGACTGGAGCCTACCCCTAACACTTTTTCTTGTGCTACCAGTAAAGAGGCCCATCTACAATGCAAGTCCTCCGCCCAAAAGCCAAATAGCCAGGTTGCTGCCCCTTACCTTTCTGGATGTTGTAATCCGACAGGGTCCGGCCATCCTCCAGCTGCTTGCCGGCAAATATCAGTCTCTGCTGGTCAGGTGGGATGCCTGCACACAGGAGAAACTAGGCTGGCCGCAGCTCCTTCTTGGACGAGCTGGGACCACCGCAATCACAGAGGAATGAGGCTGAGGACTCCAAAGACCTTCCAAAGACCGGTAAGCACTCCAATCAACACCACCCCTATCCACAAGACAGAGAGCCCCGAGCAGCCCAGCCCACCTTCCTTGTCTTGGATCTTGGCCTTGACATTCTCGATGGTGTCACTGGGCTCGACCTCAAGAGTGATGGTCTTGCCCGTCAGGGTCTTCACAAAGATCTGCATGTTGGCGTCTGCTAAGCAGAGAAAAGAGACCCATCAGTGACATGTTGCTTGTGTGAGGGCATCTGCCTGAGCAGGCCCGTACCAGTCTTCCACTTCCCCCGGGAAGCTGGGTATTTCTTGTCTAGCTGCCCTAAGTGCGTCCCCAAAGCCCAAACATCCCGGGGACCCCGTGCATTGTCAACTGTCCCAGTCACCACTACCCGGTGGGACAGGGCGCCCAGCTCAACAGCATCCCACCCTATAGACGTGCCTCTCCACTGTCCGCCATCTCAGGGACCGAATATCAAATCACAATAACCTACTTCTCAAGCGCTGACGTGAGTTGTGCACAATCACGCCGATATTTTTTGTTTATTTTTCCTGTCCTGGAACTAGCTCTTGTAGACCAGGCTACAGGAGATCCTCCTGCCTCTGCCTCCCGAGTGCTGGGCTTAAAGGCGTGCAAGCCCAGGCAGTTTTTGTACCCTGGGTGACCACCAACCCATGGCACAGGCTAGCCCTTTGGAACCAAATTCCCAGCATATCTCTGGATAAACCCAGGCCGCGGTTCTTGGACCTTCAGCCTGTGTCTCCGCGTGACCAGGTCCCCCGGCCGAACCCCGTTGGGCATGCACAAGGCCAGAGCGGCGCCCACGGGCCACTACATTCCTCTCGCCGGTTCCCGCCGCGTCCCCGCCCCGGCCCAGCCACCATCAGCCCGTCAGCGACGCAGCCTCACACACCAACCCGTTCGGTCGCCGCGTTGAAAAGAAAGAGGACGGCGGAAGCGGAAACCCCCGAGTCTCCTCTCAGAGCGCCTGCGCACTGAGCACGCTGCGCGTCGACGTCACAATCCACACCACGCGTCGTTCCCGCCCCAGGCTTCGCTCGGCGCCATGTTGGGTGCTGGCAAGAGAAGCCGAACGGGTGGAGCTGCTCCACCAACGCGTGAGTGATTCACGCCCCTGAGGGAGCTTCCACAGCTGCCTTCCGCGTTCCACAGCCGTCCGGGACACCTTTTTGTTTCTTTAAGGAGGTGTGGTCAGCGTGGTGATGCTCGCGTGTAACTGCAGCAGAGCGGCCTGGGCTAGCTACCAAGCCAGCAGGGTTGCAGAATATGCCACTGTCAAAAGCCGGCGAGAGGGCTCAGTGGGAAAGGCATTTACCATCATATGGTGGAGGGAGGGAACCCCTCCTGAACTGTTCTCAGATTTTGACAGGCGCGCACGCATGCAAAAGGAATGAATGTAATGAAGAAAAAAAATTTTTTTTTTCGAGACAGGGTGTCACTCTGTAGACCAGGTTGGCCCCGAACTCGGAGAGCTGCCTGTTTCTTCATGCGTTGCCACCACAGCCTGGCAGAAAAGAAAATTTCAAGAGCCAAGCTGCGCTGGCCCCTCACCTTTAATGCTAGCACATGGAAGACAGAGGCTGGAGCACTTCTGGGAGTTCATGGCCAGCCAGAGGTCCCTAATTGTCTCAAAAACTATACACCACTAGACCCTGGAAAGAGGGGTTTAAAGTTCTTGTGAGCTTGGTGATGTGGCTTTTCTTTCTTGAATGTTCCTCCAGGGCATCAGGCAAAAAGCAACTGTATGCAGAACTACCTGGGAAGATACCTTTTGAAAATACATCCTCCCCCCCCCCCCCCCCCCACAAGGTAGTCTGATCAGGGTTTCCCTCCTCCGGGCCCTCCCAGATTCTCCCTACCCACCCAAATCCACACCCTTCCTTTTCCTCTCATTAGAAAATAGACATATAATAAAGAACCAAAGAATCGCAGACATAGACACACACATTCATACAGACATCCCATAAAAACACGAAGTTGGAAACCACAGTATACAACTAAAAGGCAAAAATGCAGACAAAACTTAAGAGAAAGACCTCTAAAACCACAATTTTTATTATGTGACTTGCTCTTAAAATGTTGTTTGTATGCCAGCAAGACCCCAGGAGAGAAAACTAATTGTTCATTTGTGAGTGATTATCAGTTGGAGATGGCTTCTGGGGTAGGGACTGAGCGGATGTCCACCTCCCCTTAGCACTGAGGCCCAGCAGGCCCCATGCATGCCGCCAGTCTCTGAGTTCCTATGGCTGCTGTGTTTGGAGACCTTGCGGCCTTGGTGTCCTCCAGGAATTTTACACTCTTCCTGCCTCTTCGTAAGGGTTCCCTGAGTTCTGAGGGGAGGGCTGAGAGTCCCAGGGTCTTTCACTCTGCACTCCGTCCTGCTGTGCTGTGGTTTTCTGTTCATTCCCACCTGCTGAGGTCAGCTAGACTAGCTCCTGGGAAGAGACTGGCTGGCCTTGAACTCACAGAGAACCGCCTGCCTCTGCCTTCCTGGGATTAAAGGCGCGTGCTACCACCGCCTGTCCTCTTCACCTCTCTGGGCCAGTCACGCTTTTAAATAAAGTTAATTTTGAATTTTTTCCCTAGTAGCAACACCTGCAAAGGCCAGCAGAGGGCACCGGATTCCCCGGAACCAACTCCAGTTCAGGGGGTCCAGTCTGGCCCGCCCTCCCTTCCTTCCTTTCACTAAAGATCACTAATGCTATCTGGCAGTGCTGGAGCTGGACCCTGGGACCTAGTGCCTGCTGTCAGGGCCACCAGGGTATTATCTCCTGGAAGACCATCCAAGGAGCTGGGCCGTGATGACACACACCTTTAATCCAAGCACTTGGGAAGCAGAGGCAGATGGGTCTCTGTGAGTGGGAGTTCAGCCTGGTACATAAAGCAAATTTCAGGACAGCCAGGGCTGTTACACAGAGGAAATCCTGTCTCAAAAAAAGAAAGACCAAACCAAAACAAAAATAACAAAAACCCTGCATGGCATGTGGAAGCAGGCGTCCAAGTGGCCATTAGATACAGCTTTCCAGACCCCCCCCCCCAGCAAGCAGGTGTCAAAGTATCCATCAGACACAGCTTTCCACAGACCCCCCCAGCAAGCAGGTGTCAAAGTATCCATCAGACACAGCTTTCCACAGACACCCCCCCCCCCCCCCCCCAGCAGCAAGCAGGTATCCTTGCCAGGGAGAGTGATGTCTCAGAAAAGGTGGTCTAAGAAAAGCTGGCCCAGGATCTGCGCACCAGACCTCACAGGTTTTGATGTTTGGACAGCCCCCCCCCCCCCTCCAGCATGGCTCCCTTGTAACATTCAGAATCTGCCCAAGTACTGGGGTCTGAACCCTAGACAGAAGCAAGCCACAGCTATGCATGATCCTGTTTAGTAAGCCTTTACTGGTAACTTCCCAATAGCATCTGAAACAATGATACAAAAATATTCAATCAGCTGTTTTCTAGGGTGACTGGCCAGCTCCCGGAGATGGCTGCTAGTCCTGAGGAACAGCGGCCACAGAGGGAAGGTTGCCTCTCTAGAATCTTCTTCCTCGCCCAGAATTCAACACGACAGGGAAAAAAGTACTCCACAAAGGACAGGAAGCCCAGAGTCAAGTCAGCAGCTGCCAGAGGGTAGGACAAGCTCAGCCCTGCAGGCACCTTCTACCTCCAGGGGGCCCCACCATGGTGTCGGCGACATCTAGCTTTGGTCTCTGGGGACTTGCCCAGGCTGAGTTCAAGGCTACACCTGTAGCCAGCCCCACTGCCCCAGCTGGGTGCACGTAGGGGCATGGGGAAGTCCTGCTCTTAGGAGGAGGGGCAGGAATTAGGGACCCTGCCTATGACCGAAAGGAGCAGCAGAGCTGACCACTGCTGCTCTGGTCTTTTCTGGGATGGCGGGAGGGGGCTATTCTCCATGCGTTTCTTCCTCGTCATCTGTCTGGCTGTGGCCGTTGATAGCAGGAGAACCAGGTCGAATATGTGCCAGGTCCTCAAAGCCAGGACTGAGAGATGCTGAGACAGTGTCAGGGCTGGTGTCACAGGAGCCTGTGCTCTGCTCCGAGGTGGCGATGGTCGTGGTGATACTGGGTGGAATGGGGTCTTCATCTTCATCCTCTAGGAATGAGCCCTCCGGGATGTCTGGGGAAGGGACCCCCATGCTGGTCAAGTCTTCCTGTAAGGATGGCCCCTAAAACGCTTTCCCACCCATGGGGGCATGACTCAGCCCAGGCCCGGGAAGGTGGAAGGCATCGAGGCTCCAGAGTGAGGCCGACTCAGAATGAGCGTGCCCATCTGTCATCCGGTATGGCAGACTGAGGCAGAGCTCTGGAATACAAAGAATTTGAGGCCATCCCGCTGACCTGAAAATTTAAAAGGTGCCCCCTGAGCCATGTACCACATCTGCCCTGCCTCATCTCAGCAGTCTATGGTGGAGACAGGAGGGTCAGGAGCTCAGTATCATCTTTAGCTACATGAAGAATTTGAGGCCAGCTTGGGCTACATGAGACCATGTCTCAAAAACACAAAGCAGGGCTGGAGAGATGGCACAGTGGTTAAGAGCACTGGCTGCTCTTCCAGAGTCCTGAGTTCAACTCCCAGCAACCAGATGGTGACTCACAACCATCTACAATGGGATCTGGGGTCCTCTTCTGGCCTGCAGACATTTATGCAGGCAGAATACCACGCAAATAATAAATAAATTTTTACAAAAAAATCCCACAAAGCAAACAAAAGAAACCCCAGGAATCCCACCTGTCACACAGTAGATGAGGTGAGCTCTGACAACCCTATAAAATGTTGGGGTCCCAGAGATATTACAGCCACAGACCCGAGAACTTGATTCTTTCCCTAGCCCTTGTGACCCCATCTCCTGCCCCACATAGTATCACTTCCCTCTGGGGCAGGCAGGTCTGTTTCCTCTTCGTGAAATGGGGTGTTCAGTTCCCACCTCACAGGGCTACTGGGTTTGAGATGAGAGAGCATAGGCATCTCCACCCACCACTCATGGGGCCCTGGGTGGGCACAGCTGTCCAGGCAGCCTTCGGAAGCCAGCCCTAGGCAGAAAGTGCTGGCAGCAGCAGGGTGGTATGGGGCATACTTACGACTGAAAGCCTCTGGGTGCTGCCGGGCCAGCTTCCCCTTCAGTGTCCTGTGGGGAAGGGACAGACAGTGATGAGCCATCAGCAGTCACCTCACTGTCTCCCGCTAGGCTGCACCCATGGCTCTCCTGTCTCTAGGCTTGGTTCCAGCAGCACCCTGGGGGAGGCAGGGACTGAGATGACAGGAGGTGACCACCATCTTGCTTTCTCTTCTGGTTCCCAGGTGTTGGGGTCAGAGCTCTGTTCATGCTCACCTTGTTCATTTGGACAGTGTCAGCTGGGCTGTCTGTCTCCGCCTCCCCAGCACCCAGCACCAGAGGATGTTGTGTGCTACCACACCTGACGTTCTTAAACTCATTTTACCTTTAGTGTATGTATGTGATTGTGTGTGGGTGAGCACACAGGCAGCGCCGAAGGCTGGCTCCAGTTCTCCAGAGCTGGAGTGACGGGCAGTTGAGAGCCACCTGACAGAACCAGCACCAATCCCCTCCAGGAACAACACAGTCTTTTCCACTGTGTATCCCTCAGCCTCTATGCCTGATTGTTTAGTATGTTCTGAGGATTTGAACTCAGGTCCTCATGATTGCTCAGCATGTACTCAACCTCTCTTTTTGCTTTCTTGAGACAAAGTCTTGCTGTGTAGCTCAGGCTGGCCTTGAACTCACCAAGTAACCCACTGACCTGGAATTCAAGATCCTTCTGGTTCATGTTCCTGTGTGTTAGGTGTGTGTGGCCACCCAGCAGGCTCTACCGTAGGAAGAGGTTGTTGGTCACTGTGCCCTGAAGTCCTGCAGTCCAGGCTTCAGAGCACACAGCAACCACCCTGCTGTCAGGACGAACACGGAGCTGACTGTCATGTCCTGGGGAAACCACCTGCAGACTCAGCCTGGTGTTACTAGAAATGTGTGCTTCGAGGAAAACTTAGGAGCCTAGAGTAGCAGGACAGCTAAGTACCGGGAGTGGGGGAGGCAGGAAGATAAGAGGTCCAGGGTCATCCTCATCTATATGATGAATCTGCAGTCAGCTTGGGCTACAAGAGACCTTGTCTCAAACAATATCAAGACTGTAATAAAAAAATAAAAACACGTGTGGTCACACACACCTTTTTTTTTTTTTTTTTTAGTTTTTCGAGACAGGGTTTCTCTGTGGTTTTGGAGCCTGTCCTGGAACTAGCTCTTGTAGACCAGGCTGGTCTCGAACTCACAGAGATCCACCTGCCTCTGCCTCGAACTCACAGAGATCCATCTGCCATGGCCCGGTGGTCACACACACCTTTAATCCCAGCATTAAAGGCAGAGGCAGGTAGATCTCCATGAGTTCAAGGACAGCCTGGCCAAGAGTGAATTCCAAGACTGCCAGAGCTATATAGTGAGACCTTGCCTCAAAAGCAAAACAAAAATAACAAAGAATATTGATAAAAAGAATTAAAGCCAGGCACTCGAGGCAGGATCTGAGTTCCATGCCAGTCTGGTCTACAGAGGGAGTCCTAGGATTTGAAGACAGATCCAGAACACCTAGAGCTCAACTGTAAGCAGAGCTCATTTGTCCCCTTGGCTCTCACAAGGCTCCCCAGCCTGGGCTGAAGGAAAGGCTACATGTATGCTCTAGCTGTCCTGTCACCTGCCGTGATGGCTGAGGCTGTCAGGTATTCTTGTCTTGTCCTGATCCAGGAGCCTGTACCATTGTGAGAAGCAGCAAACTGAACCCTGACTGGTCTCTATCTAGGACCCGGGCCCTCTGCTCTGCCGGCCAGAAGGCCTTCGGCACCAGGAGGCCTAGCCTAGCTACCCAACTGTCACCCTCCTGCCTTATAGCTCCCTCAGAGATCAGAACCGCCTTGTAAAAACATCCAGAATACCCAGGGCTGGAGAGGGCAGAGTGCAGGGTCCTAGTGGGGAGAAGGAGGGAAGAGGAGGGGAGGGTCTTAAAAAGAGGAACCCAGACATGGGCTTTGGAGAAGAGAGAATCATAAAGGAAATGAAGAGGTGCAGAAGGGAGGGGCATTAGGGAAGGCAAGGCGCTTCAGACAGCGAGAAGGGACCTTGGAGAGGAAGGGACTGAGGGTGCAGAGGCTGGCTGAGTCCCTGGGACAGGGTCTTGGCAATGGGGGAGCTTCAGAGTGGAGGAGCAGGGGACCTGCAGAGCTGGATAACAGACCAAGGAAGGGGCCAATACTGTGGGGGTCCAGATAAAGGTTTGGAGAAGATGTGCTCTAAGACAGGGCATGTTCTCAGGATAAGGGCCACAGGGGAGCTCGGGTGTGGGGGGGGACCACCTGATCCTTCGGAAGATGCTGTCCAGGTCCCGTTTCATGTCCACCAAGGTGCGAGTATGGTGCATGAAGCGCTCACTCATCTGCTGCAGCCGCACGCTGGACAGATTGTTGAAGTTCAGAAGCATCTCATTGGTTTTCTCGAAGCGGTCCAGCCTGGGGGGAGAGGGTCAGAACCCCTGCATCAGGCCTAGGAGCACCGTGAGTCACAGCCCCTGTATTCAGTTACAGAGCCATAGCCTGAAGATTTCTGTTGGCTGTACCGGTCACCGAACTCCTACTCACCCTTGAAAACCCATTCAAAGTTACAGAGCCATAGCCTGAAGATTTCTGTTGGCTGTACCGGTCACCGGACTCCTACTTACCCTTCTGCTGTAGCCTGGGTCTTCCATGGAGTTTTTCTGTGCCTGAATTTCTTCTGACAGGTTCCTGCCACATAGCCTGGCCAGTGGCCCATTCCATGTCCTTGTGTTTGTTTTTTGTTTTTGAGACAGGGTTGCTCTGTGTAGCCCTGGATGACCTGGAACTCACTCTGTAGTCCACACTGGCCATAGAGCTGCCTGAGTGTCTCACAAATGCTGGGATTCCAGGCATGTGCCTCTGTATCCAGACACAGGCTGACATGTTCGTTATTTACTTACTCATTTATTGACTTATTTATTTATTATTTTTGGCTGAGATTTTATTTTTCCCTGAGACAGGGTTTCTCTGTGTAACAGCCCTAGTTGACCTGGAACTCACTCTGTAGACCAACCTGGCCTTGAATGCACAGAGATCCACCTGCCACTGCTTCCTGAGTGCTGGGACTAAAGGTGTGCACCATCACCACCTGGCTTGGCTGACATTCTTTTAAATTTTGGGCTTTTTGTTTGTTTTGGATTTGAGACACAGTCGTCTGGCTATGTAGCCTTGGCTGGCCTGGAACTTACAGAGTGCAGGGACTAAAGGTGTGAGCCACCATGCCAGACCCACAACTATTTTTATCATGTACACAGGTGTTTTGCCTCTGTGCATGTCTGTATACCGTGTGCATAATGTGAATGCAGGGCCTGTGGAGGTCAAGAGGGTTCAAGTGTCCAGGAACTTGAATTAAAATTGTGAGCTGCTGGGAACAAAACCTTGGCCCTCCTTAAGAGTAGCCAGTGCCAGCCTGGTCTACAGAGCTAGTTCCAGGACAGGCTCCAAAGCCACAGAGAAACCCTGTCTCGAAGAAACCAAAAAAAAAAAAAAAAAAAAAAAAAACCCCCAAAAAAAAAGAGTAGCCAGTGCGTGCCAGACACCTCTAATCCCAGCACTGGGGAGGCAGAGGCAGGTTGATCTCTGTTTCAAGGCCACCCTAGCCTACAAAGTTCCACAAAGGGAGAAAAAAAAGAGTAGCCAGTGCTAGCTGGTTGGTAGTGCACACCTTTAATCCCAGCACTGGGGAGGCAGGTGGGTCTCTGTGAGTCTAAGGCTAGCCTGGTCTACATAGTGAGTTCCAGGACTGCAAGGGCTATATATTGAGACCCTGTCTCAAAAAATAAGTAAATAATATGAGGTGGAGAGCCCCAAGGGAAAACAGTAGCCAACAGCCTCTGGCCTCAGCTGGGAGGGCTGTCCACTATGAACCTGAGGCCTCCGCATGCTTGGCAGACCGAGCCGCCAAGTCACACTCAGTCCCATACCTGCCTTTCACCCCAAACCCAGTTGCAATCAGGGTGAGCTTGTCCCAGTGAGGGACTTTGCGCACGAGACTGGACTCCAGGTCCTGCGCCGGTTGTTGGTAGCACACGCCTTTAACCCCAGCACTTGGGAGATAGAGGCAGGCGGATCTCAGCGAGTTTGCGGCCACCTTGGTCTACAAAGCGAGTTCCAAGACAGTCAGGACTGTTACACAGAGAAACCCTGTCTCAGAATACAGAAAACAAAAAGAAGCTCTTTGCACTCCTCCGGCCTGGGGACAGGAGCCCTTGGCCACCGTCCAGCAATGCACACCTGCAGGCCTGCCCCGGTACCAGGGCCTGGTTTTTCAGGTCAGGATGGAACTGGCTCTGGGGCCAGGAGCTCATTTTCTTTAATTTATCACAACTGTTTGCTGGGGGTGGGATCCCTTCCCATACCGCCATGGCCTGCTCACATGTTCTTCTGCGCCAGGATGATGGCATTGACATCATCAGTGTTCACCATGCTGAGGAAGCGTCCACAGAAGACCCTTGAGGCCGAGTCTGGGGGGTCCATCTCTTTCTCCTCCGCCTCCGATGCCTGAAATGATCAGAACAGGATGTGAAGTCTGCACTAGGGCTGGTGAGGATATCAAGAGCCCATCATGGCCCCAAGAGCTACCACCCAAGCATCAGAATACTTAGGTTGGAACTTGGGGTGTTTGGGGCCATAACAGAGATTCATCCCTAAGAAACAGGTAAGCCATCTACCAGGCAGTGGTGGAACACACCTTCAATCCCAGCACTCAGGAGGCAGAGGCAGGTGGATCTCTGTGAGTTTGAGGCCAGCCTGGTCTACAGAGTGAGTTCCAGGACAGGTTCCATAGCTACTGGAAAACCCTGTCTCAAAAAATCAAAAGAAAAACAAACAAACAGGTAAGCCAGAAGAGCTGAACATGCCTGTGATTCCAACATTCAGGAAGCTGAGGCAGGAGGATGGAGAGTTATAAGATACCCAGGGTTAAAGAGTGAGACCATCATTCTCCATAGCTAATTCTGCCCCAAAACTCTGACCTTTTCACAGGACAGGTGGGCAATACCCACTGTCCTCATTAGACTTTGCAAAGCGTCAACCCACCTCCCGCCAAATTTGCTCCTGTTTGCTCAGGTTAGGGTTTTGTATCTGGTGCAAGGGTGCCATAGCGCTTACCTGATGGTAGGGGACAGACTGCAGGTACCTCTTCTCCCCCAGACAGAGAGGATGGGGATGGCAGAACTCAGTTCCGCTTCCAGTACAGCAAGTGTCCTGAGCCATCTCTTCAGTCTTTCAGTGGCTAGGCCAGCTAGCTTACACGCTTATCTGCTTCCCATTTTGTGTTCAATCAGAGGATTGAACCTGGGTCCATAAATATATTATCACATCAAGTACACCCCCTTCAAGACAGGGTCTCGGGCTGGAGAGATGGCTCAGAGGTTAAGAGCATTGCCTGCTCTTCCAAAGGTCCTGAGTTCAATTCCCAGCAACCACATGGTGGCTCACAACCATCTGTAATGGAGTCTGGTGCCCCTTCTGGCCTGCAGGCTTACACACAGAATATTGTATATATAATAATAATAATAATAATAATAATAATAAAAAAAACAGGGTCTCACTATGTAGCCCTGGGTGTCCTGGAATGCCCTATGTAGACCAGGCTGTCAGTAAACTCACAGAGATCTGCTTGCCTCTGCCTCCTTAGTGTTGGGGTCAAGACTGCTTGCCACTACACCCTTCTTGTGTTTCTGAGTCCGTGGTGGCTTAAGACTTGTGAACAGCTGAAGACAAGCTTGAATTCCTGAGCTTGAGGTGACTCAGACCTGGAAGCAGAGGCAGGTGAATCTCTTGAGCTCCAGGTGACTCAGACCTGGAAGCAGAGGCAGGTGGATCTCTTGAGCTCCAGGTGACTCAGACCTGGAAGCAGAGGCAGGTGGATCTCTTGAGCTCCAGGTAACTCACACCTGTCATCTCAGCACTTAGGAGAAGGCAGCAGGAGGATTACTTCACGCTCTAGGCCACCCTAGACAACAGCCCAGTGAGTCCCAAGCCAGCCTGGGCTACTCTGTGGGACTTGTCCTCAAAAATGAAACACAATATTCAGCTTTAAAGCTGGCTACATTTTTATCAGCAATTTACAGCTAAGCATTCTAAGCACAAGCAGTCTGCTGGCCTGGCACCTGGCTGGCTGCGGCTCTTAGCATCTGGCAGGCAGGTGATCACCTCTGCAGTACCCCAGTGAGCAGACCAAGAAAGGGAGTCATCACACCAACCCTTTTCTGGTGTACAGGAAAAGCCTAGGATCCTCACAAGACCTCGTTGAGAGAGGCCAACACAACAGTAGGCAAAATTCACACACAGGAGCTGAAGAGGTCAAGCCCCATCCCAGCTACATGGACAAGTCACAAGGGGCTGTAGATAAGTAGGTCAGCTTGGAGATGCTGTCTCAAACAATGATGGGAAGCAGCCAGGCACAGTGGCAGATAGCTGCAGGGGGAACAGGAATGGTGGGGAGGAGGTTAGGGTATGTAAAGTACTTTGCACGGGGAGCTGATGACTTGCCGTGAGGTCGCCAGACACTGCCGGGCATCCATCTGCAACTGTGGGGAGACAGGAGGCAGAGACAAAGCAGCTGGAAGCCCCAAGGCCAGTTAGCCTGGCATGCAGAAAGGTGAATAAGAGATGCTGTCTCAGCTGGGCGATGGTGGCACACGCCTTTAATCCCAGCACTCGGGAGGCAGAGGCAGGCGGATCTCTGTGAGTTCGAGGCCAGCCTGGTCTACAGAGCTAGTTCCAGGACAAGCTCCAAAGCCACAGAGAAACCCTGTCTTGAAAAACCAAAAACCAAAAAAAAAAAGAGATGCTGTCTCAAATACAATAGAAGGCAAGCAGTGTGGTGCCTAACGGTATTCTCTGACCTCCACCAGAAACAAAATATACATATTTAAGCCAGGTACAGTAGCAGAAGCAGGGAGATCTCTGAGTTTGAGGATAGCCTGGTCTACAGAGAGTTCCAGGACAGCCAGGGCTACACAGAGAAACCTGGTGTCAGGGAAAAAAGAAAAAGAAGAAACTAGCTATGGGCAGGGCATGGCCTCTGCTATTCACCCAAGGTGGACTACGACAGATAGATGGTGGTAGACCCCAACACACGGTGAGAAGAGTAAAGGCAGAAGGATTCAACCTTCAACACCAACCAGGACTTCATAGATCTTCCCAGGCACACTGGGCAATCGAGAAGACCCTGTTTCTAGTGGAACATGGCCTGTGACATGGCTCAGTGACTAAAAGGTGCTTGCGATCAAGCCAGAGGGTTCCAGTTCAAGTCCTGGGACACATGGTAGAAAACCCAACTACTGCAAGTTGTCTCCTGAATTCCAGGCATGAAGGTGCATGCCCCTCCCCATAAATAGGATATATATATCATACACATATATACATACATATTATATATACATACATACATGTACACGTATTGTTTTTTGTTTTTCAAGACAGGGTTTCTCTGTGGTTTTGAAGCTTGTCCTGGAACTAGCTCTTGTAGACCAGGCTGACCTTGACCTGCCAGAGATCTGCCTGCCTCTGCCTTGCCAGTGCTGGGATTAAAGGCGTGCGCCACCACTGCCTGGCATATGTACATATTTCCAAAAAAGAAGAAAAAGACTTGTGGTTAAAGGGTGGAGTCAGACAAGTTAATGGCATCTCTCAGATGCAGAATTTTGATTCGAGATTTTGTTTTAAATTATTAGTCGGGCTGGAGCTGAAATGGTGGCACACAGAGGGCCAGCTTTGGCTATACATATTGAGATCTAGGTCACCCTAGAGATGTACGAAACCCTATCTTAAAACACAGGCCTGGAGCTGGAGAGATGGCTCAGCATTAAGAGCACTGGCTGCTCTTCTGGAGGTCCCGAGTTCAACTTCCAGCAACCATATGGTAGCTCACAACCAACTGAATTGAGATGTGGTGCCCTTTTCTGGCCTGTAGGCAGACATACAGGCAGAACACTGCATACATAATAACTTAAAAAAAAACCCAAAACACCACAGGCCTGGCGTGACAGCTCATGTTTGTCACCCTAGCACTCAAGTGGCTAAAGGATGTTGTAAATTCAAGGCTAATCTGGGCTACACAGTGAGCTCCACACCAGCTTGGGATACTTAAGACTGTCTCAAAAAATAAGACAGGTGTGGAAAGGCCTGTGTTTGGCGGTAAGGAAGGCAAAAGATCAAAGTTGCTTTTTTTTTTTTTTTTTTTTTGGTTTTTCGAGACAGGGTTTCTCTGTGGCTTTGGAGCCTGTCCTGGAACTAGCTCTCTAGACCAGGCTGGTCTCGAACTCACAGAGATCCGTCCACCTCTGCCTCCCGAGTGCTGGGATTAAAGGCGTGCGCCACCATCGCCCGGCTTCAAAGTTGCTTTTTGAGTTCCAGGCCAGCATGGGACAAATGAGTCCCTGACCTAAAGCACGACAACACAGCCAGGCGTGGCAACTCAATGTTCGTTAAGTCCCAGCACTCTCGAGAGGTGCACTTTAACGGGCTGAAGGCCAATCTGGGTTACTATCTTAAAAAAACTAATGACTTCCCCTAACACTTGGGTGGCTGAAACAGGATTACCAGGAATTGGAGGCTAATTTGAACTATCATCTCAAAACATTAAATCTCCCCCAGGAATGCAAGGCTGACAGCAAGGGCTCTGCGCTTCAAGGTCACAAACAGGAGCACAAGGCGCCTTCGCGCCCTAGTCCTAACCGAACTCGACTCAGCAAACCAAACTCCAAGGGGGAAAAAAACAAAAACCAAAAAGGATAAGGTGACACTCAAACATGCATTGAAGCCCCGCCCCTTCAAGAGGGGAAACTGAGGCACGCGCGGACGCCGAGCCGCTCAGGACCCGGGCTGCGCACGGTCACACAGCCTGGTTCCCATCCGGATCCTCCCGTGCCGCCGCTGCGCAGTCAAGGAAACTGAGGCCGGCTCGGCCGCAGAGTCACAGTGGCCGTCCTTTGCCTCTGCGGCACAGCCCGCGGTCTCCCGCCACCCCGCAATCCCGCCCTAGCCCGCCCCGGCGTCGCCGGCCTCGGCACCTGCACATCTGGCGGCCTGGCTCGCGCTTCCGGGATGGACGCCGCGTTACGTCACTACGAAACGTCCTTCGCGCCCTCCGTCAAGGCGCCGACGAGAGTGCGTGACCCCGCAGCAGGAAGGGGTGGGACCACTCCGTAAGAGGCGCTTACCAGAACGTCAAACGAGTAACCAATCACAGGTTGGTTTATGCGCACGCGCAGTGTTCGGAACTTGGTTTCCTAAGCCTTCTGGATGTGGGGAGTTAATTTTTATTAAGTTTTATTAATCCTTTTAAAATTTCGCACGTGTATATAAAATATTTTGAGCTTATTCGCCCCACTTTTGCTTTTAGCCCCAGGTGCATGAGTGGTGTCTGTGAAGTCCCGAAGAGGGAGTCGGTTTCCCTGGAACTGAATGATTGGGAGTCTCCTTATGGGTGCTAGGAATCAAACCATGTTCTCTGCAAGAACAAGCACTCTTAACCACTGAGTCAACTTACAGCACCTAATTTTTTGTTTGTCTTTTTGTTTTTTTGTTTCAAAGACAAGGTGACATGTAGCCCAGACTGGTTTCCAACTTTTCACTGTTAAACTTCTGCTTCTCCTGCTTCTACTTCCTGATATGATAGATGTATGGCCCCCATGTGTGACTTTCAAGTTTTTGAGACATCTCTAGCACAGGCTGCCCTGGTGCACACTATTGTGAGAAAAAAACCCCACTCGGTAATAAAAAGACAAGCTAGTGGGGGGGCTGGAGAGATGGCTCAGTGGTTAAGAGCACTGCCTGCTCTTCCAAAGGTCCTGAGTTCAATTCCTGACAACCACATGGTGGCTCACAACCATCTGTAATGAGGTCTGGTGCTTTCTTCTGGCCTGCAGGCATACAGACAGACAGAATATTGTATGCATAATAAATAAATAAAAAAAAGACCAGCTAGTGAAAGAGAAGCAGTTCTGATTTAGTTTTGTTTATTTTTTGTTTTGTTTGTTTTGTGAGACAGGGTTTCTCTTGATAGCCCTGGCTGTCCTGGAACTCACTATGTAGACCAGGCTGGCCTGGAACTAAAAGATCTGTTTGCTTTTGCCTCCTGAGTGCTGAGATTAAAGGTGTGTACCACCACAGCCTGGCAAAAGTAGTAGTTTTCAAAGTCCTGATCATAAGAACATAAGAAGCCTCTCCTTTTTCCTACAGCCAGATACTCAGAGAGTTAACAGTCTTTGTATACTTTTAGCATTATCTCCTTTATATCCCCATTCTATTCAGGGGACTCAAAGCCTTATCAAATGAATCGTCTGCAGCTTGAGCCTGACTATCCCTTCTCTGATGGCAGACATGTGTTACACAGCGGAGTGCTTACAACTTTTCAACCATCCTGAATCTAGAAAGCTCAGACAGAAGCTGCCAGCTTGGGGCAAGAGGGTCCTAGTCCTAGCGCCTCGGGCTCTCCATGACTCTGACAGTCTCTAAGCTCATCTGACATGAAAATGCAAATAATTTCTTACACTATGGGTAGAGGGCTGGCCTTGATCTTGTGGCCATCCTCCTGCCCCAGCCTGCAGGCGCTGGCAGTGAAGGCCTGCAGCTCTGTAGCTATCTTTTGGATACTTCTGCAGTTCAAGTACCACAGGAGTTCCATGAGGCACGGGATGCCTGAAAATTTAGCTTTCTCAAGTAACCTGCTTTTTGTCTTTGTTTTTAATGCTTTTATTATTGTATTATTTGTTTTGCCTACATATATGAACCATATATGTGCCTGGTGCCT